TGTGTCATCTTGTTTTTCAACACGCGGCAGTCGTTATATTTTTCGTCGCTCCGAAAAAAACCCCATAAGGGTGAAATCCCCACACGGCTCCGTGAATGGTGAGACTTTTTGGGTGCCAACTCCTGGTTTTGTTACCCGGCCTGGTAAACGAACTAACATAACATTACATAACTATAGAAAATCATCACCATTTTTATTGGGTAAATCCACTATTTCTATGGAAAACTATAACATAACTATATGGAAAATCATCACCATTTTATAGCTGGGTAAATCCACGAACTTTCGTTTTATGGCATTTTTTTCAAGTTCGCAATCTGTTGACATAACCAGAGGGTACCTGGTGGTTCAGCCCAGGCCTTGCAGGCCATAACCAAACACCGTGATATCGGTTATATTTCCATAGAACGAATCCCTAAAAACCCATATTCCAAGCGGTTTAACCAGGCAGTTATAAGTTATATACTATATGAAATACCACGTAAAACTATATCTATATATATCTTAAGATATCTTAAGGTTTATATCTCATGTTGTTGGTTACAACTGTTTAAAAGATCTGATTTTTTAAACATTGATATCCCCATATTTATCGCATATTACAACGGGATTCCCACTTAAAATGGATTATGATTAAAAAACAACAATTGCAAAATGAATCCCCCTCTGATATCAAAATAAGGGCTAGGGGGATGGATGATGATAATCCCAATAGGTGTATAAAGGGTAGTATAACCCCCAACCTAATCATCAACCAACAGGGGTGTCTCGCAGCCACTGCTCACATCCCCGCAAAAAAAAAAAAACGGTTTTGAACTTTTGAACACTTCGAGTGTTCATAGTGTTGCAAACATCATGGGTCATTAAACCCATTGAACATCACCCAACCAAAATCGGTATATGGTCAATGCCATGGCTACTTTTTCAGGTGATGTCCAATATTGCCAAAATGGGTTACCAGCCCCTGAACATTTCCTATCTGGGTATGGGTCAATACCTACAGATACATTTTTAGTGGGATGAACATCCATTTACCAGCTATTTTGGGGTTCACTAGGTACCAGGGTTTTGACCCATCCCCATCTTTTCATTTGGCTCGTAAAATTCTCGTGAAGTCCCCTCCTTTTCGACACCGAGGCGCATTTCACTTAGGTCTTCACGATACTCCTCGAAGACGGCGCCTTACTAAACGATGGCTGTCGGAGGGGTCCCAGTAGCCTCTGGTTATGGAAAACGTCATGGTCAATGGATTGGTTTAAGGGAAAATTTACCAAAAAAATACATCTTTTGATGGGAAAATCTATGGTTTCCTGTAGATTTTCCCTTAAACCAATCCATTGATATGGAAAAATGGATGAAAATGGTCCATTTTTAGATGATTTGTGATGATTTACCTTATTGGTGATGTTCCGTGGTTATGTTAAATTTCTAGAGTCGATAGGTATATAAACAACGGATAGAGGAGGAGAATAGCCAAGCCGACAACGCAGATATGAGTGTAATATATATATATATAGAGAATATTATTATATGCATATATGCGTATGTATACAAAGTGGGATAACCCCACTTAAGAACTTATAAACAAGGGTTGCAAACCAGTTCCTCTAAGCGATGTTGCCACGAAGATTTTTTTCGAAGCCTGGCGTTACATCACTACAGCTTGTTAACCCTCACGGACTGAAGTCACATCTTGCAGCTGCAAATATACAGTGTGTGTATATATATACAATATATATATATATAAATATCTTTTGGATTCTTTTGGGGTTGCAGCTGACCAGGACACTGCCCCATTTTTGCTGCGAGGTAGGAAGTTTTTTTTCGACATGAAATCCATGAGGTTGGCTCCATTGGGGGTCAATCCTGCAAATGTTCAGACCCAAAATCATCAAAAATCATCTTGTTGGTATACATCATACATCTGTATACATATGTATACATGTATTTATATATATATATGTGATTTATATCATTATGTATAATTATATATAATCATATATAATTATATATATACTATATATATATATACACATCTATCTATACAGTAGTGATACAGCAGTTATATATATATATACTCCATATGCAGATATTCATGCATGCCCTCTGGTAATTTAACAAAGCTATTGAAATCTATTGAACATGTCCCATCTGGCTAGTTGATTTATCAATCAAAACTGGTGATTTTCCATAGCTAATTTTAGTTTACCAGAAGGTATCACCATCAAAACCAATGGACATATTCCCATTTAATTATCTAAATATATCATAATATATATAATATTATATCATATATTATATTATATTATGTTATGTTATATTATGTTATGTTGTTATACTATGTTATACTATGTTATATTATATTATACTATATTATATATTATAACATATTATATTATATTATATTATATTATATTATATTATATTATACATAATACATTATATTATATTATATGTTATATTACATATATATATATATTAATGGGTGAATTTCCATTGAATTTCCCAGCTTTCCCCGTTTCCGTCTCTCCTTGTTTTTCTTGGCGCCGGGATACGACACGCATGGATCACCGTGCTGCACTCCTTGCGACACTCGCCCAGCTCCTCGCGTTTCTGCAACGTCACCTCACCGTCCTGAGGACGTGGAGGACGTGGATGGCGGGAGCTACTGGGAGACACCACCTTAATGATCGTTAATGATGGTGACGAATGGTTAATCATGTTGGTAGAATATGATCTAAATGGTTAATGTGGTTGATAACCCATGCAGCCCCCTGCATACAACGACGCGTTGAAGGAATTGACGTTGAAGAATTGCTGCTATAAGTTTCCATGGTTGCTTGTTGTTCGTTCACTATAGCTAGTAGAACCGTATCATCATCAACCGATTGCAAGGTGATTCCCAGTTGGATGTTTGGTGGTTCATGTTGCCCCCATTAAGTATATATCTGCCATTTTTACCTGGCACTTCACTTCTAGTTTTTCCAAGCAACTTGACTAACGAACTGGGGTATCACCTTGTAATCACGGAAAATCACTGGTGTATCTCCCAGTTGGACTAGCTGCACTAGCTTTAAAACATGGCTATTCTCCACGGACAGAGTTGGGATTCCCACAACATCGATTCGTCGTACTGGACATGGATTTTTTTTTCAAACATCGGAAAGCAAATCCAAGATTATCAAGATTAGATTCAATTAGATTATTTAAATATTAATTATATATCCTCCAATGTCCTCAAACGTGGCTGGAAGATCACCGAACTAGCCATGGAGGTTTCATTCGCCGAGAAAAACATCGAACCAGGCGGACTATGTCGTCTCCCAACCTGCAGGATGCCTCATAGGAGTGTTTCCATGCACCGGGCGCAAAAAGGCAAGCATGATGACTACCAAAATGAAGTCAGCTGTTCAAAAAATTTGGGAAACATCTCCAAACACCTTGGCATTCCTATCGTTTTTGGATGTTTTTGTTTGTTGCTCAACCCCCCAAAAAAAGAGTCCGTGACTCATCACATCAAACTTCACCCAGGGATTTGCCCGCGTCGAACAACCCTCGAACAACCCGTCCTTCTGCTCAATGTCATAGAAAGGGATCCATTCACCTTGGAAAATTGGGCCCAAAATCCACCAGTTTTTTTGTTGTCCCATCTATTCGCTGCCATCAAAATAGGCGATCCCCAATTTTCAGACACAAATCCAGAATCTTTGGATGTCCGGGATGTCCTATCCTCTGGTTATCTAACAGTTTGTCAATGGAAAATCACCATTTTTGATAGGTAAACGATCTATAAATGGGCCATTTTCCACTATAAATGGGCCATCATTTTCCATGGCTATGTAACAAATAACCAGAGGGTAAGCATCGGTGAATTTCCCCGTTAAAAAACATGGCAAGCTCCAAGTATGCCCGGGTCAAGGGGCCAAGGTCATCGTCTGCATCGCAAATCAAGTCGAGAATTTCACCAATTTCAACTTCCCCGAGGCCTCCTCGTGCCACGCGAAACGGGGTCTACACTTATTATGGTGCGAAGAGAGGCCAAACTTGGATACAAGTTACTTCTTGATGTTGATAGAAGAACACTTTAGACAGACATAGATGCGTGCTTGTGTTTCTGCACAAATGTAATGTACATTCACACTTATGTGATGTATATGTCGGGATGGATTCAAGCCTAGTGTAAGTTGCATGTAAATACAATTATATATATATATACATACATACACATATACATACATCTGGGGATGAACATCCAACTATACTATATCTATGTTGGTGTTCACCAGGGTACCAGGGTAAGTTTATACCCATTTCTCAGACCCTGGCTGCATCGACCATGTTACCCTCTGGTAAACATACAAAAAACTATGGAAAATCACCATTTTTCATGGGAAAATCCACTATAAATGGCCATTTTCAATAGCTATCTTAGTTTACCAGAGGGTAAATCGATGAATCAATGTCCAAAATATCAGGAAAACTTGATGTTCGATCGTTCCTCAAATTGCACAGTGGTTTGAAGGAAGAAAGCACTGTGTAGATAGAATATGTGTGTTTCAAAGTTTCAGCAATAAGATGGTAACAATTCGTAATTGTATTGAAGATTCCATATTCTATCTGGTCATCGGGTCTTTCCACACAAGCGATGCTGCTCGGAGAAAGGCTACAAGGCACGCAGTAGGTCAAAAAAAAGTGACTGCACTAGGTAAACTATACTGTTTGTGTGCTTACTTTTACTTAACGATGTGTTTTTGTGCATACTCCCCTCACTTCAAAAATGCTGCATGTTTTTCTGTGTTTTATCATTTTGCGACTTTAAGAAAACATGTCCCACATATTAAAACCAGGATGGCTCTATAATATATATATATATATGTATATGTATGTATGTATGTATGTATGTATGTATCTATCTATCTATCTATCTATCTATGTATCTATGTATCTATGTATGTATCTATCTATCTATCTATCTATCTATCTATGTATCTATGTATGTA